ACATTTTGTTGTTTGATTTTTTTTATTCAAGTGCATTTTTTGTTAGAGACTGAGAGTCCACTTTGTTAAACATTCTTTAAAAATTAAAGTTTATTGAGAGGACGTACTTCCATTATTATGCTTTTATCATTATATTAGTTTTAAAATGGTCACCAGACAATATTATAGTTTATCGCAATAATTTCTGAGATAATTAATAGCCCAGCAAAATTTGTTATCGTGACAGGCCTAGATAGAACCTAAACTGGTTCAAAATTCAGAAAATAAAACCTTTTTCAACATGTTTCAACTAAAAGAAGCTACCAATACCTAAAGAACCAAMCTGCACCAGGCAGCAACTACTCTCTCACACAAGCAGAAGAAATTAATGTCAACAAAACACCAAAGTTTTCATGTTTACAATGTGATGCATTTAAATTTCCATGTTAAAAGAGGTTTGGGAATAAAATCTATTTCATTACAATGAACCTGTTAAACTCACATCAGTCTGTTTTATTGTCTATAAAGAAAAATCACCCACCATGTTTCCCCTTTGCTGAGATGATCTGATTTCTCTCAGAGTGAAAACATTCCCGCAGACTGAGATCTCCCTCCACAGACCAGGTCTGGAGTCCTGACTGAAGCCCTGTCGAGGATGCATGACTAAAACACCGTTTGTGGTCAGTCCGTCCATCTGACCATCCTGCATCCTCCACTTGGCTGCTTTTTCCTGTGCAGAAATTAATCACACATTCACAGTCACAGGTGTTAAGTAACAAAGCAGAAATACTTTGCTTTACTTAAGTAGAAATTGTATTTATCTATACTTTACTGGAATCATTATATTTCAACAGAATTTTTACTTATATTCCTCACATTTTCATGCAACTATCTGCAGTCTCTACTCTTTACATTTTAAAAATGTAGGAAGGACTTCCTTTCTATTTAAGCTTTTATTCATTCCAGCTTGTCRTCATTAAAAACCAACCAAAGAAAAAATCCTGATATATCACTCCTCCTGTATAAAGGGAAATTGATTGATTGATTATGACACGCTAATGGTTTGTTTGTACTGGTTTGTTTGTACTGGTTTGTTTGTATTGGTTTGTATGTATTGGTTTGTTTGTATTGGTTTGTTTGTATTGGTTTGTTTGTATTGGTTTGTTTGTATTGGTTTGTTTGTATTGGTTTGTTTGTATTGGTTTGTTTGTATTGGTT